TAATGGTAAGGTTTGAGGAGAATGATAGATCATGATTCATATAGCAGACCTCAAATAATTAAAAAAAAAGCTCTGATAATGAAAAAAAATTCATTGACAAAATTAAAACCGTAATAAACATCATGGTGTGGACTTGCCTCTTTTCTACTATTATGTTTATAGAATAAAAGAGAGCGCAAGCTCCATGCACATGTGTATAAGTTTTCACATGGCTTGCCAAGATATTATTCTCCTATGCAAAGCCAAAAGTCAAAACTGTGCAAAATCAAGTGACTGTTTACGAAATCAAAGGACTATTAATGATGAGAAAGCTTGATTTTGCTATTTGGAAGTCGCAGTTAACATGCAGTTGTCTTTCTTAAGAGCACTTACACTATTTATTCATTTTTTACCCACATATATTCTTTCGGTCTCGGTCACAAACAATTCTCTTTTTTTTTTTTTTCTGATATGAGCCACTAGACTCATTAAAAGCTTGGGTGAGCCCACCAGCTCACAGGAAAAAATGAGCTCAATGCCCTGAGTGAATCTGAGCCAATCTGACGATCATGAATATTTGGTAGTGTTTGAATTTTAATTTTTTTTTCTACAAATCCAAATCACTTGATATTATAGGCGTGTGTTCTTCTTCTCATCAAGCCGCACCTAAGAAAAACATAAAAAACATAATTCGTAAAAATAAAATGATCAAAATACCTCCGAAATCTTTTGGGGGTATTTTGGTCAATTTATTTCATGTAAAATATTTTTTTTGATATTTTTTAAAGATTCACCTATTTTTGATATACACACGTCTAAAATTTTAATTGATTTGAATTTGTAAAAAAAAAATTAAAATTAAAATACTACCGGACATTCATGATCTTCAAATCGGCCCAGATGACCATTGGACTCATTTTCTCCTATGCGTTAGTGGACTCAACCAAGCTTTTCTATATATATATATATATATATATATATTTGTGTGTGTGATTTCATGCATATTCTAATGCTTTGTGGCCCTATGCTTGGTCTTCTCGTTCCATCATTTTGTTACCCCATTTGGGGGCCCTCTTCTATTTTTCTTTTATTTTATGGTAATAGCTCACACATAAATAAATATAAATGTCTTTCATAGCAACAGCTCACACATAAATAAATATAAATTAGTCTTTTATTGCAACAGCTCGCACATAAATAAATACAAATTAGACTTTAATTGCAACAGCTCACACATAAATGAATATAAATTAGTCTTTTATAGCAACAGCTCACAATTGTCAACCCATATCTAGTATAGCCAAAAGATGTCTTATTCATGTGGGGGTAGAATGTCCATTTATTCCCAAAAACCCCACATAAAATTAATTTTAGGATTTTGAATTTGGGGATATAATCTCTTCAACCATATACTAACTTCCATATAATGTTTTCTAATTATAGCCTCTATGTACTTGGAAAAAATAATGTTTCGAGATTGAATATAGACTGGCCAATTTTTAAATGGTAATTATATATGTGCTGGCTTTCTCATAATGGAATGTTACTTCTTCTTTTTTTCTTATTATTATTATTATTATTATTATTATAAATATTATTATTATTAGGGAATATTTTACAAAAAGATAATTTACCTTTTGTACAAGGTTACAACTATTCTCACTCATTAGATAAATTCGATGGCTTGGGGTGAGTCACAAAGTCCAAGAATTTTTTTTGAACTTTGTATCTAATCAATTACACTTTTACAACTACCCAATTTGAAATCTACTGGGCAAAAATGATTGTGACCTCATTGTACCAAAAGTAAATAGTGTCTTTATAGATAATCCCTATTATTATTTAGATATTTCTTTTATTATTATAATATTCTCATTTTGAATAATGCAGGGATTGTCAATGGCACACCCCACCGTCTAATTTTATGCCTAACGACCACCGATAATCGTGACCTCCTCGTATTAAAGATTTATCTCATTCTATATTTTATCTTTGGCAGTAAATAGCCAACATGAAATTCGATTTTATAGTATTATATAACAAGAGAATCAGATTTTTATGTTTGAAAAAATAATGTGGGTCACTCTGCTTGTGAAATAGTGTATGCCACTTGGCTCGGATTGACAATTGACACTGCATGTTGTTCTAATTTTTTTCTTTTTGAGTTTGATGTATTCCAAAATTTCGATACATGTTTTACTTATCTAAGCATTCAAAATAAATAAATAAGTAAATATGAACCAAACCGTCAGCCGGTTTGTGTCGGTCGTGTTCGATGCACGTTGGCTATTCGAACCGCTTTCCATCATGCAATATGGATCTTTGGCCTATATTGTTCCATAGGTTAGGCGGCTTGCAAAATATTTATCTTTATTTATGAGGATTGTATATAATAAGATGATTTATCTTTTGTACAATGATGTTACAATTATTTATAACATTTGAATGTTACATTTCATAGTTTGAATACATCACGAAGTTAAAAAAAAAAAAAATTGAACTTTAAGCTTTGTCGATGGAATAAACGTAACTACCTAACTTCACGTCTAATGATAAGGAGTAATTATGACCTACTTGTATCAAAGATACTGTTACCCACCTTTGATACTGTTACCTGTAGGCTAAGCTATGGAATTTTCTTGATTTAAATTTTGCACATCTTTGATATATAAACAATTTTATAATAAAAATATAGATCTTGAGTTCTTAAAGTTCTTGTGTTATTTTTTGGAAAACATGTATGCATAATCTAGGATCTAATTGACCTCTACTTTTCCAAGTGGTTTAGGTACCGGATTACATTTTGTTAAGAACGATAAATTTCTCTCTTTTGATTTCCCTAGGAGATGAATAAGTACCCAAAACGTATTCATCTTTAAAGTCACTTATATTTTTTAATACAACCAACAAATTTATAGAATTGGGCTAGAAAAGGAATCCGATTGAAAAGCATGCAATGAGATTATTTATTGATTTGTACAAAGAGGCCACAATTACCTTTGGCCAATATATGCTAAACTGAGTGGCAGAGTTAATAGGCCGGGGTTCGACCGGTGGCTTGGTCAGGGTGGTCCAGAATAAAAACCGAGTTTGGCCATAAATCGCTCAAAATCGGTGTTTTGATTGGTTATGACCAGTCCGGCAGCCATTTTTTAATGCTTTACTAGCCAAATAAATTAGACAACTTTTTTTTCTAAAAAATCCAACCAAATTAGATTGACTGTGGTGAATTTTTCTAAAAAAATCTACCAAATTAGATTGACCGTAATGGGACCTATTTTAACTGGACCAGACGTTTCGCTAGTTCGTTAGTCAGTTTAATCCTGATAACGCACTAGTTTATTATCACCACTAAGTTCAAATTTTCTTGAAAAAATTCCTATAAATTTATGGCACACCTCTGGCCATCGGATTGCACATCCGATGGCCACATGACCATCAAGTGCCACCCTAAAAAGGTTTGAAATTGAAAATTAATAATAATAAAAAAGCATAAACACTTCCTCTTTCACTCATTTGAAAGGTGGGTGTAAGTCGACATTGGCCAGCCGACCGTTTCTCTCCCAACCGCGTGCCACATCACGCCCGAACATCCTTGCCATACACGTGTCTAATTCCTGTAGGGACACGTGGCAGACTATTTGTGGATTCCTTACCCGGCTTTGTCAGCTTCGGCCATGTAATTATGTCGGGTCGAGTCAAAGGCTGTTTTTATGATTTTTTCTATGTTTCCATTTTTTTAAAAAATAATTTTAGTTGTGTCAACATATGGCCCTTAGTATCACATTATATATCAGTAATGCCTCTCCACTCCATTATGAATGACCAAAGATGGAGCCAATGCCCTTTGTTTTAGGGCATTTTACACCATTGCTTGCCCTTCTCTCTCAAATATAGGTGATGTTTTTTCCATTAAAAATAATAAAAATACTACGAATGCAACATAAAATTTCTATAAAGCTTAAGCTCTATGAAAACAAAATAAAACCGCACCTCAAATCTGTCAAAAAAGCAGTTTCAGCAACAAAAATCTTCATGATGACTAAAAAATCAATCTCCAATATCAACAATAAAGTTTGAAATTCAAAAAAGATACAAATCATGTAGATATATGAACACTTATTTTTAAAACGAAATGGACAACTTAGATAATTTGTTGTAATATATATTATTTTTAGAGTTTTAAATCCTATTTTTTTTCACAAATATAATTTTCAAGAAATAAAGGTTTTTCAATACTTCACTTACAATTTTCAATGAATTATAATGGGCGACTTAACTTATTTTGATAGGGCTGGGGCGCTATCAAACCATTTTCCTTATATAAAGGTCCAATAGCCATCTCATCTCATCATCAACATTCATCAAGTAAATTAAAGTAACCATCCAAGGGTGTTAAAGAATTGGCAAAAATGGTAAAAAGTCAAAAGGGCTGGATAAGACTAATTTTGATATTTGAAGTCAAGTTTTGAGGCATTTCATAAAACTATTCAAAAAAAGAGAGAGAAAATATGTTAAAAAAAAATAGAGAGAGAAAAAAATAAAGGGTAGAGAGAGAAAGAAAATAAAGGGTAGAGACTAGAGAGAGAAATAAAATTAAGGGTAGAGAGAGAAATAAAATTAAGGGTAGAGAGAGAAATATATTAAAAAAAATAAGAGAGAAAAGAAAAGAGATGGGAGAGAGAGAGAGAGAGGTCGTTGAGGAGCGTCGTCCTTTATACGAGAAAACGAAATCCCACCTCCTACGCGTCTCCATAAAGTGAAAAAGAAGAGGGAGAAATTCTCTTAAAAAAAAAAAAATCCCTAAAAAAGAAAAATATTAAAAAAGGAAAAAAAAATTTAAAGGAAGAGAGGGGAGAAAAAGATTAAGTGGAGAGAGAGAGAAGGTGTTCATCTTTTCTGCATCTCTCTCTCTCTCTCTCTGAATTCACCTCCCAAAATCCACAGGCTTGATTGATAGAGAGAGGCTCTACCTCCCCATTATTGAAAAGGTTGATCTTCTTTTACCCCAATATTAATCAGGGGATTACCCCAATATTTGTCAGGGGATTGTCCCTCTTCTGTTTTGCTTATGTTTTATCAGATTGTTAGATATGTTTAGATCTGTATCTGTTTCTCAATAATTTCAAGGTTCTGAATTCTCTCTCTGTCCCTCATGTTATATGTCGGGTTTTGTGTTTCATTTTTGCATCCCTCCAACAAAGGGATATTTTTGGTGTTTAATTTGGGAAATTTCTCATCACAGTTAACACTTTCAAATTTTTTTGGCATATTTCTTATCTGGTTTGATTATATTGTGGCTTATCTCTCATGACATATTGTGATCATCAGGTTTATGCTTGTTTTCATAACCATACATGGGGACTATACCCTTTGCCCTTAATTTCCTGCGTCTCTCTCTCTGAGCATCTCATGATGCACTTGGACTTGGATGTATCAACATGTATAGATCTCTCTTCTTTATTTATGTTCTTGATAACCAGAGGAAAACCTTCCCTCTAGTGAATTCCGATGTTTATTTTTTTGGGGTCTTTCCCCCCTTATTTGGTGCCTTATATTTTTATTCTGGTCTCAACTCCCCCCCCCCTCCTCTCTCCTCTCTCTCTCTCTCTCTCTCTCTCTCTCTCTCTCTCT